CAGACACATGTTGATAGTTTTCATGAAATTTCATGGTATGTTCACTGTTTCACAATCACTGTGATATATTACCTATCCGGGAACTATAAGAGCTCCATCAGGCATTCATTACAGAATGTTTTCATGGTTGATGCATTCTTAATGCATACTTATATGACATACTTACATAAAACCGCTTAATACCAGTGTAAGAATGTTTAAGAATGCACACCCGCCTCCTCCATGTTCTTCCGTCGTTCTTATCGTTCTTAAGCATTCTCCTAAGTTTCTTAACCCCCCTCCGTGTTTGTAGGGAAGATAATTCCGCTTGAAGAGCGGGGACTTGATTGTCGCGAGCCGCGCGAAGCATTTCCTGGACCTGTGCGGCTGCCGCAGCCTGCACTGGCGTACGCGCCGGAAGCCCGTAGAAGGCGAGGCCGTAGCCGTAGAAGGCGAGGCCCGCTGCGCGGTCTCCGAAGGCGATTCCGCCGGAGAATCAACGTCCATCTGTGGACAATTAACAGGAATATTATTAATATGATGTTCCTTATTGGGAATAGCCAAAGGGCGTTCGTCTTCGTCGTCGGACTCAGTAGCCTCGGGCGCAGTAGGGTCCTGTTCCTGAAGGGATGCTTCGCGGTACCTTTCATACAATTTTTGAAGCTTAAGGATTTTAGTCAAACGCTTTAGCGCGGCCTTATTGTAGCGCATCGCGTCAAGGAGGATCGAACTTGACCCTCGATACCAATGTAGCAGTCGCTCACCTGACGGGAGGACTGACAGAGCGGAAGCGTGGAGTTATTAGTCCTCGTCGTTGTAGGAAGAAGTCCAACCAAGCGGCAAGCACTAGCGTACATAAGATGTGTACGTAACGGTTAGAGACGGCGGCAGCGGAGTCTTGAACTCCGAACACCTAGTAATGTGATACATCAGTGTCTGGCCAGAACACCCCGCCCGGGTAGCTTATATCTCGGTCTACCTGCCGGATAATCTCTACTACGGACTTTGCCGTACTAGGATAATGTTGGTGGGGCCCGGGGCCCCAGCCCGTTAGATTCGCTTACGAACAACTGCCCAGTTCGCGACATGTGACGAAACTCGGAACATGTACGAAACTTGAGTCAGATCGTTTAACAGATTAACAGTTATTGTTAAAAGTAATCGTTAAAATATTCTAAGGGAAATGTAGCCTGCTACAACCACTACCCTGGACAACCTGCTCTGCCCTTAAGAGAAGTGTCATCTCTGCTGACCTGTACATCAATACACACAAACTGGGTCAGCACAAACCACGTGTCACACAAGTGAAGCATGTCATGCAACTCAGCTAGTCATGCGACTCACTCAATCCAAAGTCGTAGTTGTCACACTGCTCACACGTGTACCGCTTCCCTCCACCCTCTGTTAGCTGAGGCCTCGCAAACGACCCACACGCACAGCACCTAATGATGCTGTGTCTGTTCTGACACCGCCTGCACTTCCACGACGCCACGGGCCCCTGGCCACCCGTGGTGTCAATCTCGCCCAAGTCCCACACACCACCTGATGGCATGCGTCCCCGGGCGGCATCATCCTGCCGATGCTGCAGCTGGGTCGGCAGTGCACGAGAGGGGGGTCCCCGTGGCGGCAGGCCTGTGATGCCAGCACCACCGATGCGATGTCCAACGTTGGGATTGGTGGCTCGCTGCCCTTGGATGTAGCCCGTACGCGGGCCCGTGTCAGGGCTGACGATGTGCTGTGCCTCCGGATCCATGTTGGGACCAACGGTGCGAGCTCCAGGTGCAGGACTGGGTGAAGTGCGCGGTGAGACACGGCGCCCACTGTCTAAGGCATTGGGCTGCGGCTCTCGCCGACGTGTGCACCTGTGCTGAAACTGGCTGTAGAGGCGCTGATACTCCTCCTCCGCCGCCTCGTCCGACATGCCATACAGATGCATGCGCATGTCAGGTGGCCAGGCACAGCTGACATCTCGCACTCCAGGCGGTGGAATGGGCCGCGTGACAAAGCCACCCTGCTGGGTGAGCCGCTGTGCCTCTTGCTTGCACGCCATCATGTGCTGGCGTGTTTTGACGTGGTTGATAATGTTCTCAATGTTGCCAGTCTTGGCACCGATGAACCACCCCCTGATGCCGCCGCTGATGCATCATGCATATGGGTCTATACCGCCGAGCTCCGACCAGTTTGTCTTGAACTCGCCTATACAGGGTTGTAAAACAAGGGGGCCATATCTGTTGTCATATGGTATGATTTTTCATAGACGTCGGTATGTAAGTATGCGTAGACTTCTCGTTGCGAGAAGGCGGGTTCTTGGACGAAGATGTTACTCGTTGTACTGTCGTACTGTTTTCAGTATGGATATTATACTGAACTGCGTTCTGTTTTGGCTATTCGCCGTTTCGTGACCTTAGGTTCATGCTATCATTATAAACCTTTTAATTTCTCCACAACACTTCGCGTAACCAACGCAATGGCTGATCAAATCTTGCCTGCTAACATTCCAAACAACAACATTCAAAACAACCATAACAATGTAGTCATTCCGCCCCCTGCGGCAGCTCAAGGCGTGCCAGCGCAGGTAGTAGAGCAGCTGATACAACATCAGAACTTCAATGCCGTCTTTACAAATATTAACGCGGGCAGGGAGGAGGCCCTGTCGAGAAGATATACAGACCTAGAGCAGAATCGGGAGGCGTCGTGCCCGAAGGCGGTCAAGTTCATGGCGGCATGGATTCGGGACATCGGATCCAAAGTCTACTCAGCACATTCAGCGCTAAAAGTCATTCAGGCTACAGTCGCGGACGTTGGGCCTGTCGTGGACATCCTCCAACAAAGCATCTTCATCATGGACTTGCTCTACGCGTCCTGCGACGCTGGTGGTCGGTGCCACCAGTATCATCTAGAAGTAATGCAGCAGTACTTCAACAACAACCGACATCAAGCCGTCAGTCCGACGGCAGAAGTCAAGGCGGATACAGACCGACTCTACGACTGTGGTGAGGATCGCTTCCGGCGCGCTGTCCGGGACGTTAAGGACCGGATGGGGACTAACCCGCTGCAGGAGGTGCAGAACTTTGGCGGCCGTGGCAACAGCCGCAGCCGGGGTGGATACGGGGCCCAGCGCTTTCACCCCTACCAAGGCGGCGGGGCATACCCCAACTTTAGCGGCCACCAACAGTTCAGTGGCCAGCCGCAGTTTGGTGGTCAGCAGCAGTACCACCAGCCCCCGCCCATGGGGCCTATGATGCCGGCCGG